TTGAGAATTCGCACGCGGCAAGCAAGCGCATTAATTCAATACACTTATTTCAAACCACAACATGTCTGAAACGAGTTGTCATTTTAAGACTAAATTGATGAAAATAGATATAACAGTGATTTTGGAGTACCCTACTTACTTAGTGTAATTTAATACTCGAAGTATTCTTGCCAAATAGGGCACGTACGCACACAGTAATTTAATCTGGTGTCGTTTGAAACATACTTTAGCTAAAATAACAACTTGAACAAGAAGACCAACAATGGGGTTACGAAAACAGTCGAAATTGTGCCCAAATTTGCATAAACAGTTCGTCTAAAAAGATAACTTTAAACTAGATTCAACCAACATTAATGCAGTCGAATTTTGTGAGTGTTTGATCGCATATTTCTACTCAAAAATACCCTTTAAAAAATCGTATCTGCTCACTTGTGTTCCGTGTTCATCTTTCTTGTGATTTCCGACTTCTATTTTTAATAAAGTTTGGAGAAATCCTCATCTTTTTGGCTGAAAATCTCGCGCATGGTTCACAGAAAAACTTGGCCCCAAAACGTCAATACATTCGCTTTCCTTTCATGCCAAATTTTCGTTGTAGTTGATTCAGAAACCTCTTCTTTTCTTGCTTTTAAAACTTGCTGTAAAATCTTTCTTTGTAACAGAATCGCCATTATTCATTATTTTTGGAAAACTAAGATTTTAAACTTGAAAAACTTTGTGAGTTTCTGACCGATTTTCTTGCATGATACACCGTTGAAAAGCTCGAATTTCACGTTCTATTTTCGTATCCGTTGCTAGGCAACCCGATAAACACGTGCTCAAATATCATGCCCACAAGTTAAGGCGTCATGCCAGGGCGCATTGTCCGTTACCCACTTGTCAATCTCAGGGCGCATACGGGCGCATTGGGCGTTAATGAGTTAATATGGAAATATTGAATTATAAATAATTGAATTATTCAGTGTTTTTTCTGCGATTGTCGACCGATTTGTAGACTTTCTTTTATTACAAATTTTATGTTGTTTAATACTAGCATGGATAATAAAATAAATTGTTATTTTACAATCCATGACACTAAAACTTAACATTTTTGAATATTTGGTCAAAGTAGGTCCATGTACTGCAGTCTGCACCTATCATTTGTTTACATCACCCTGGGGGGGGGGGAACCCCCAGGCATTTGACATTTGCAATTTTTCGTGTCAAATCCCACACCCTCAGATGGGAAGAACAAACCAAATACTCCTGGGCAGGGATATACCCATAGATATCTTATATACACTAGATAGTGCATCTAATTATTCTGCAATTCAAAAATTGAAGCCGTGATTGCAGTCTCAGGTCGTTCCCATGAAATGAGAGAAAATTCGTATATTTACTATTTCTTAAACAGGGAATTTAAATACTAAGTTAAACCTATTCCGAATACATTTTTAAAGTATTTAAATTATGAAAGTTATTGTTGTTTTTAAGCGTTTATTAGTGAGTGGGAACGACCAACATGGCCGCCATCTATTCAAATGGGGGTAACCGCTGGAATATTCTTGGCTTCAATTTTACTAAAACAGATGCACTATCTAGTGTATATAAGATATCTATGGATATACCAAACCAAATTATATATTAAAAAGACATGCATGCACTCACTCCATTAATTTTTAGCAGTCCAATTAGCATTTTAAGTTGTAAAAAATTGAAAGGCCGTCGAAAGGTCTTCCATTACATACAAGCTTGAGTTCTAACATATAAAATAAACAACAGAAAGCTTGGGTATAAGATTTGCACGAAACCGGAAATTAAAGCATGCATGGTCAATTCATCCCCACCCCAATTCCAGTTTTCTGTAAACATCCCGACCCCATGTCAAAATTTGCGATAAAATCCCCCTTGGGTTGCCTGGAAAATCATGTCAAAATTTGCGATAAAATCCCCCTGGTTTCCCCTTTGTTGGGGGAAACAAGGGTGCATACTGTACATGTAGGTGCATACTGTACATTAAAATACAGATCATGAAAAGGTTAAACATAGATCATGAAAAGGTTAAACATATACCTGCAATTTTGCAGACTAATTACTTCACTCATTAATGCAATGTGTTTCACAGGTAGCTACAAGGACACTATATTCTGGTTTTAAATTAAATAAAAAAAAGTGCATGTATTTAGATCATGGCATGGGTTGTTGTGAGTGGCTCCTGCCATACTTAGTCTTAGAGCACTTGTAGGATTATGCACTTGTCATCGAAACCCCCACCCACCCCCAACCTGTGGAAACATGGGGCATAGACTTTTTCAGAAACTAATGAAATAAAAAGCCCCACCCATATGGGCAAGCAAAAGCCCCTTCTAGAACAAAATATCAATTAAAGTTTCAAAAATTGCATCAGAAATTTGTGTCGCCGCCACTCCCACAAACAGCTACGACCGCACCTACATATTTTTGCATGTTTACAATATTAATTAAACAGCCAATCCGATTCTTGGTAACAATTACAATTAAAAGTCGATTGACTGCTTAACCCATTGAGCCGCAATGCGCCCTGCCTATTTTTTCTACTTGTCTAGTGCCAGACGATTTTACACATCAATGGGAAAGCTCTGCAACTTAATGGGTTGAAATTGAATTTTTAACATGCAAGAATATGTAGGTGCGGTCGTAGATGTTTGTGGGAGTGGAGGCAATACACATTTGACGAAAATTGCCTAAGCCCCCACTCCAAGGGGCACAATGAAATGTATAAAGCCCCATGATCCCCCACCTATGCCCTATGTTTCCCTGGGGTGGGGGGTTACCGATGACAAGTGCATTACTGTATCCTATGTTTGAGTTGTGATTATGTGAGGCGTAGAAAAAAATACCTGTGGTTCCGGTTCCTGACCGACCCTATTTTTTTCTGCCGACCCTATTACTTTTTCAACGCTATTGACTGTGCTACCCTATTTTCTCTGGGTGGTTTCGGGCTACTGCCAAAATGGCGTCTGTTGTCACACTAATTATTGAAAAAAAACATGAAAAAAATATTTTAAAAAATTATTTCTGACCCTAATTTTTTCTCGATACAATATCGGAACCACAGGGTTTTTTTTAACGCCTAATGACACAATAGAAATATAGTGGGCCACTGCCCAACCAGGATTTTTTTCGGGGAAGGGGGAGTATGTTACATCATTATTTCTGTGACAACACTTTCCTTAATCCTGGTTTCCATTTGGTCATTACCAGTCACTGGCTGTCCCTATCACAACATGTGGCTGATGTATTGTAATAGAGTTTCAATAATATTATGTCCATGTGATCAATACTGATTTGCATACGTTACACGAAAGACAAGAGATTTATTTACTAGACTATTTTACGTCTACCACTCAGGTCTTGGCACTTGTTCTGGTAGTGACAGTCACTGACATGTACTGACCAAATGGAAACCAGGCTTTAGGGGGATTGATACATGGGAGGCAATGCCTCCAGGGTTATACTCCTGCAAGTCTTTACCATCACTGGACCCGACCAGGTCCTGACCATTGGAATGTTGTCAATATTTCACACCTTCCGAACTTTCTTGAATTGAATCTCTAGTCCGTATTAATTTATAAGCATAGCAAACCAGAAGAGTGTTAAAAATTATGTATAATATATATCTAATCATATTTTACAACCGTAGCACTGAGTTCAAAATGTAAACAAAGCATTTGTTTACATTACAGACTTTACATCACCTAATTTAAGATAAAATATCACCAAAATCTATTAATTGTTGTATTTTTTTACAGGCGATTCCTGCTGTAACTCAAAGGTAACATATAACACATTAAACTATGATGAACTGCGAGTTTGTTTTGTTAAGTTACCCAAATGCCAGATTATTTTATTCGTCAGAGGGACAGTACTGGCATTCAGTGGGTTAAATATATTCTCTTGTAATGGTAATGTAGTGGCAGACATTTTGTCACATGGTTGGGCAATGTACAAATTTTAGTTGCCGATATACTCCTGTCCTTTTTTAGACCAATTGCACACCTTAGTAACCGCGTCATTGTTACCTTAGTAACATGAAAACGAGGCTTCGTTATATGGAAATGTGGGAAATTCACATCCTGCTTCTGCTAAAATTGAAAACTATTCATGTTGTTTTATAGCATAGCATAGCATTGCAACATTATGGTATTTCAATCTAAAACTGACATCGCAATTAAGTCAACATCATTATATAAGTTCACCATTGTCATTGGCCATATTGTCAAGAATTATATTGACTGGCAGTTTTAGCTATATTAATACAGTAGAAACATTTTAGATTTCCAAAACAAATACACAAAACACTGTATGAAAAGATACCGTTTATTCTCATAGCAACCGTGTCTCGTAACCTTAAAATCCTCCACACAACCATCTGCTGTTTCGTCAATAATTAGTTTAATAGATCACAAAATTACTTCAATTGTAGAAGAAAGGCCGGTAGACCAAAAAAGTTACTTCCGAAGCAACAACTGGAAACTCTTCTACGTCTAAAAGTTTCAATATCTTCAACTGCCAAACAATTCGGTGTGTCTAGGCATTTGGTTTATAATGCCATCAGCGAGTATGGACTTGAGAGTGGAAGAGTCTCAGGGGGAAATTGAGAATGCAGTGATAGCTACTAAACAAAGGCACCCTAATGCCGGAGAAGTGATGATACAAGGTCATATGGCAGCAGCAGGAATTCATGTACAGAGACATAAAATAAGAACTGCTATTCACTCTGTTGATCCCGAAGGTGTTCAGGCAAGAAAGAAAAAGCCAATAAGAAGAAGGGTATATTCAGTTCCCTGCCCGAATTACGTATGGCATGTTGACGGGAACCATAAACTTGTGCGCTGGAGGTTCGTTGTCCATCATGGTATCGATGGTTTTAGCCGTTTGGTTGTTTTCGCCCACTGTTCTCCAAACAATCGAGCAGAAACAGTCTATGCGCAATTTTGTGAGGCAGTGTCAAAGTATGGAAGACCACAGAGAATACGGACCGACCATGGTGGCGAAAATGTGGATATATGGCGAGAAAATTTCAACCCTAGGCGAGGAGAGCACACCGGTGCTTGTCGGTAACTCTGTCCACAATCAAAGAATTGAGAGACACAATCAAGCTCTTAATGAACAAGTGATTTCCGTCTTCAAAAATGAGTTTTACCAGTTAGAGAGTGAAGGTATCCTTGATGTGAATAACGATTCAAATATATTCTGCCTTCATTACGTCTATTTACCGAGAATTAACCAGACAATCTCTGAATTTGTGTCAGCTCACAACAACCACAAAGTGTCAACCGAGAAAAATAATATACCGCAGCAATTATTTTGGAGTAACCTTCATTTGACAGAAATGCATCACGTGGCGCCGCCTGAACATACCTACCAACCTAATATCGGTGAGCTCATGGAAAATGATCTTCCGCACGCTACGGTCCCTGAAACCCCAAACCTGTTAAACGAAAATGGTCTAAATGAGCTCCAACAGCTAGTAAGCTCTTTATCAGATGCTGGAGGTATGGTAGTTTACAGAAGAGTTGCTGAATTTGTTGGTCAGAACATGCTTGTTGAATTGTTGCCACTGCCTCCCACTACTTGATGCATGTCATCAGCGTTTCAATTAGCTGGGTTTGAGCGTGTATTCAGACACTATACTTTAAATTTCGTTGTTACTTTAAAAGTTCATTTGTCATTGGTTGGCAAAATGAAAGATAACTTCAACGGTTGTAAGCATTTGATGTAAACAGTATTTGTTTTGTTGACGTTGTATATTAATTTGTGTTCCAATTAATAACTATGTCTATATGTGATAATATTCATGCGCAATTAGTTTTTAGAGTTTGGCCAGCATTTTCGTAGATAAATGTTTTAATTGTGTGCAACAACTGGTACATACAGGGAGCAAGACAACACCCAACACTTCCACCATTGCATAATGAGATTGCCAAGAGTTTACCGCATGGAAGGTACACATTTTTCCGTTTTGCTAAACAAAAATAAGACGTATCAAGTCTTTTTGCACATTCACCAGATCTACAACACTAAGTAAATGATGGCTTCATTATCTGTGGTGTCTTCTTGTTCAATGGGATGGGAGAAAGGCATAAGAAAAGACGCGGGCACTGGGTCAAGGCGCAGCTCGATACCAACACCTTGTCAACTTCGTACCCAGGGCATTTTGCTTCCACTCCACGAAAATGCTCTGGGTACGAGGTTGACACCTGATATATAAAAACCACGGGGCGAAATACATGTAACGGCCGGAGGGTCGCCAGTCAAGTTGACTGGCCAACTCAATTTTAGCTCCAACATACCGAATTTCTGGCCAGTCAACTTCCAGGTGATCTTTATACGCGGAAAAGTACTGGCACTAGTTGACAAATAGAAATCCATTTTATGATTAAAACAACTGAATATCTCCTGTAATATACTTTATTTCGATTCCATATTTTTGTCAGAGCTATAGTTCTCATAACCAAACATAATTACAAAATTTCAACTAGTTTCATAAAGAATAACGAAAGATATAATTGACTGAATACATCAAAATGGATTTCTATTCGGACAACCCTTTCTGAGCGCTGATTGGCTAAAATACGAACACGAGATCACCTGGTATTCAGCTTAAAGCAAATTAGTCTAGTAAAGTATACATCTAAAAATGTGACTATTTTCCCAGTATAGCATTACAAAAAGCCTTACTGTAATCAATAATTAAAAACTCCTTCACATATAAAACCGCTTGCACTGCGCTAAAAGCATGGTCTTAAGCCAAAAGCATGCATGGCCATGGGTTTTGTGCATAGAGGTTTTGTGACGTACTACATGGGAAAGCTGCCGCACATTGAAGTTCTTTTTCCGCAAAATATTCGAATTCGACAACATGTTATGGTTCTTAATTATATAGCCTGTGTACAGACGTTACTCTCGACTCGAGAGTAACATCTGTACACAGGCTATATAATAGTCTCGACAAAGCGCGCGTGTGAACATCTGTGAGTTGGATGAAGATTCCTTGTTCTGGTCACGTGGATTTTCCAGATTTGTGTAAAGGCCTCTGATTGGACAGTTCTTTATTTGAATAATATGTGACAAGTGAAGATATTTCATTGGTTGATTGGTAATTAGCATGTGTTTAAAATAACAACACAATAATTTTAAATTCCGAGATTTCCTCAAGAATTAAGATTTCCTTTGGGCAAACAAAGGTTTGAAAGACTTAAAATACATTAAATCTGTTGCGTTTAATATTGTGCTGTATCGAAGTTAAGAAAATCAAGATAAAATTCTAGTGTTTGGACACTCAGCGAACAGTGCGATATGTTTATATCTGATATTTCCTCCCC